CCGGCCAGGCGTGGGGTAGGCGGGGCTGCTAACGGTCTCGGCCGGGAGCTCTTGGGGGGCCGGCGCGGGACAGGAACCCGGTGCAGCCACCTTTGTGCTCCTCGGCCGGGACCGGCGCCTCACACAAAATGGCCTCGGCGTCCGCGCCTGACTGAAGGCGCGGTGAGAACCCGTGATTGCGGCTCAGAGAGAAGGGGCGCCGCGGGCGGGCCCCGTTGCGCCGCCGGCGCTGAGCGGCGGCCATCCGGGGGCTGCCCTGGAGCTGCAGCCCTGGGGGGGCTGGAGCGGAACTGCTAGGTGAGGACGCGGATCCCCCGCCCCGCTCCCCCAGTCTCCACCTGGTAATTCGAGCTGTTCCGGATTTAACGCCCCACTTCGGGCTTTGGGTGAAGGGAACAAGTTGAGTCTTGTCCTTTCCCTGGGACAAGTCAGTCGAGAAATGGCCTTGGAAACTTCCAGGGCTACTGCTGTTGCACCGAAGAGGAGTCCTCGGCCGGCCTCCAGCACGCGCTTTCTCTGCTTGGAGTGGCCCCGCATGGCGACTTTTAACCAGGGGCTATTCCTGAAATCCTCCGTGTAATGTGTTTTTGCTTCTGTTGGCTTGTGGCAGCAGTAGCCAGTCAGAGCCAGAATTCTAAGGTTTGTCTTCTGTCTGTGGAAGCCTCTTTCATTCCAAGACTACATATTAAGTTGTTTTTTGCACTGTGTTGGAACCGTGGGCCTGCTTGGGGTCCAGATTCTGAGGCAATGCTTCCTGCTGCTACTCTTTTTATGAGTTTTTTACTTGATGGCAGTAAATTAGTTGAAAATGAGAAAGCTAGATCATTCCCAAGAGTAGGCAGCATGTCATACGTGCTTTTGTCGTACATGTTTTATTGTAGATGCATTACCTAAAAATAAGTAGATGTGGGACAGATTCTCCAACGGAGATTTAACTGCGTTGTCTCTGCAATCTGACAAACTGACTGAAGCTTCTGCACAGAAATTGCTCTTTCCCCTCGTTTTATATGCAACTCATAAATGGGGAAATCCTTGGTATTTTGGAGCTGCCTATCACAGATTGTCCTGTATCAACGAAAGTGGGGAGGGGTGGAGGTGTCTTGGAAAGAAAGGAAAGATGATAGATAGGTATGTGGTCACTTCTGCTTTGGTAGAAGCCCCCCAGCCACTGGTGGCCTCGCTCAGTAAAAATACCCAGTTCACTAAGTGAATTATTTCTATATTGCTTTCTCCTCTTGCTGATAAAACTGCTTACATAAGGACTCGCTCAACTGAAACCGAAATTTTAGTTAAGTTTTAGGTAGTAGTTGGAAATTATGGTGTGAAATACAGTCTTACTTATAAATTGGTTTACAATTGCAAAAAAGATAGTACCTAGAAATCAGAATACTGAGAAGAGTCATTGCCCTTAACATCTTTACAAGTGACTTATTTAATTTTGGGTTATGTAGTCAGAAAGGTGCAAGAATACACTTTTTTAAGAAGTGCAAAGTAATATCCACCACCCACCACTTCCTCCCTCTACCCTTTTAAATTAGGTTTGGTTTTAGGCTAGTCGAGTGAAATTTTGGTTTTAAAATACAAGAATATTATTGAAATTATGAATATCTTTTATAGTTATTAATGAGAATTGTTTTTTTTATTTTATTTTATAAATACACATTCTTATAATACTTCACAGAACAAGTTTGTTAACTTCCAGAGACTTAAATGAGGAAAGTCTGTTAAATAAAATAATTTAATCATTTGTTAATGGATCAAATGAGTTAGTGTATATGTAACCATTTTGAAAACCAGGTGAGGGGGGGTTGTTTTTTCAAGAATATATTGGTTAAGTCTTTAGTGAAGTAAGTAAATGGGAAGACTAACAGCTTCAAAGATTTCATGAAGTTTATAATTGTAAAATATTTTATCAGTTGGAAAAACCAATATAGAAAGTTGTACATATATTTTGTAACAATGTAAAACAACCAACTCTTAAAAGAAATAACAGAAGAAAATGTATAAGGAATATTGACCAGGTAACAGGTATTCTTTAAGGGGTCTTTATAGTATATCAGTAATTTCAATTTAATCTATTTGTGAATGCTTGCTTTATGCTTCTGATTAAATCTAATTATCCCAGTATTTTTGTGGTTCAAGTAAAAGTTGAAAAGGTAGCTTGGACCCAAATTTGGACAGGTAGTTGTATACTTAAATACTTTAATAGGATAACATGTTCTTTTTGAATTGGAAAACAACTTTCTTTCTCCCCCTCTCTCTTTTTCTTTTAAACAGCAGTTCTGTGGTGTTCTTGGTCACACATTTATGGAGTTTCTGAAGGGCAGTGGAGATTATTGCCAGGCACAGCACGACCTCTATGCAGACAAGTGAACTGTAGAAATTCATTACTACTCCACCAAGAAGCCCCCATATGAGTTGTTAACCTGGACACAGAAGTGTTGAATTGGAATCTGCAGAGCATTTTACAAGCGTTCTGACCTGGATGGGGTAAACCTCAGTGCACTTCCTTTCTATTGCCTCAGTATTACTGGATTGAAGAATTGCTGCTTCTTGTTAGGAGGTTCATTTCATTTCCCATTATTCCCAACTTCACTCAGAGCACTGGGAATTTCAAGTGGAGTATATTGAAGTAGACTCAGTTTCTTTGCATCATTTCTGTATTCAATTTTTAAATTCTTTAATAACCCTATTGAGTGTTTTTTAACTAAATTATCATGGCTCGAATGAACCGCCCAGCTCCTGTGGAAGTCACATACAAGCACATGAGATTTCTTATCACACACAACCCAACCAATGCGACCTTAAACAAATTTATAGAGGTAAGGTTTGATACTTTTTAATTTTCCTTAAACTGATTGCAATTTAATAGTGTAGCTTTTTGTATAACAAAAATATTTTGGAAAATTCTGAGATGTATGCCTACAGAGCCAATTCCCAGAAATGAAATATCGGTGTCTTCTTTAGGTTAAAGGTAAATTATACATTTCAAGAAGTACATGTACTTGAGTTAGTTTAGATTTATAAGTTAACATCTGGTTCTTCATTCCTCAACGTTTGCTTACTTTAAATTTATATGTGAACACTGTAATAGTGTGGCTCTTATATGAAATTTATAGGAAGAGGGCTACCACTTACATGGATTGCTCCTATATTGGCTTATCCTAATGGCTAATACCATAAACCACAGTTAATTTATGTCTTGGACCACATTTGATCTGTAGAATCCAATTGTCTATTTCTTCCTGGTGGTTGCTAGATAGCCAAAACAGTCTCACTACCTGCCTCTTAATAAGGAAGAAATGTAATGCTGAATGGTTTATTTGAATGCATATGTATTTTATAAATATGTGCAGATGCTCAGAAACAACTAGGCCTTCCAGATCATAAAAATACTTTTGATGACAGTCTATATGCTTTTTAAAAGAAAAGTCAAGATTTTAGTAATAATGCATTATGAATCTTGAAGTCTGTAGTTTTAAATGATGTGGGATTTTAGAGTCTTTGAATATACATTACTGTACAGCAAATGAGCAAATGTTTGAGAAGTTAATGTAATTGAGTAAAGTCAGATTACTTATAATCATGAGTGATTCCTTTGGTTCTGTTTATCTTTATCTCTGAATTGCTTCTAATTCTCTTTTATTAGTGCTTCATCTCCCAACTAGTCAGTGTGTCACTAGGACTAAACACAACCACTATATGAAGGGCCTGGGAATTTTTAACTTCTAATTTATAAGAACGCATAATGTTTAACATTCCCTTTTCCTTTTGTGCTCTTCTAGTATTGTCATTTAAAACAATTTCACTTACCTGTTAAACATACATGAGTTATGCCATTGATTTCATGATTTATTTATTTTTTGTTAATCGTCAATACCTATTGGAGAGATAATAAAAATGATAAATGGTGGCAATAGTGACATGGTATAAAGACTTTATTGAGTATTTTTTATGTGTTTTATCCAGGAACTTAAGAAGTATGGAGTTACCACAATAGTAAGAGTATGTGAAGCAACTTATGACACTACTCCTGTAGAGAAAGAAGGCATCCATGTTCTTGTAAGTATTTATAAAGATCCAGCATTTATTTCTATTTCATTGACACGGGTATCATAAAACATATGTTTAAATATGTTAAAATGCATTTGAAAACATTTTAGTATTAGAAATTTAGAATTATTAGTGAGGTCTTTATATTAAAAATCTATAATGTTTAAATATTCTTTTGACTTAGGATTGGCCTTTTGATGATGGTGCACCACCATCCAACCAGATTGTTGATGACTGGTTAAGTCTTGTAAAAATTAAGTTTCGTGAAGAACCTGGTTGTTGTATTGCTGTTCATTGTGTTGCAGGCCTTGGGAGGTAAGAGAATTTCTTAAATCCAGCTAATGGTCTTGATTTTAGTAAGACTTGATACAGACTCCAGTAAAACTTCAGTTATCACTTTGTGAATCAATTTGCTTTATTAGGTTACTTACTGAAGTAAATTAAAAAGTAGGTGATTATAACAGTAACATTTCCAGTACTGTTGGAACTAACAAATGCTGTAACGACAATTTACATTTGGCTCTGTGGGCAAAATTACTTGTACAATGAATTGTGTGTGCTAGGTTATATCCATGGTATTGAAGTCATTGTCCAAGCCTGTTGAGGAAAAGGATTGTGAATTGTTCCAAGGTAGTTTGCATATGGTGTACTTTTGATGGGGTCCTTGATCCTAGAGATCCTGATTCAGTAAAAACTCATTACCCAATAGTACCAAATATGCATGCCCAGATGTATAAATCACAATCACCACCCTCTCTGCCTCCACTACCCAAAACAAGTTCTGGTCTCCTGATGAAGAGTAAAATGAAAATGGCTGTGGTGGGAGGGCAGGTAGCATGCAACTGTGCCACAGTCTTATTGATAATAAATTAAAGAAAGCACATTTCGAGAAGATCTTTAGGAAAGGAGTTCATGATATTTAAGAGTTGTGGTTTTTTTGAAGTGGAAAATATGCTTGGAATTCAGGAAAAATTTGTCTGCAATTACCAGGATGTAGATGTATGCTCTTCCTTAAATATTTTCAAGATTCCCTTCCAGTAATACAAGTTTTAACTTATATAATAGTTAAGGGCATAGTTTATTTTTGGTTCTAGATAAAATCTGGGTTTGATAGGAGAATACTGGTACTTCATTAATTTTTTTTTTAACAAAGTCAACATTTACTACATGTATTGCTTACATAGGAAGTGTAGTAAATAATAGTACTTTTGTATTTGGGAGTGTTTGGAATGTTGAATTTTATAACAATGATTTTTCAAAATTCTTACCTTAACCAGAGCTCCAGTGCTTGTTGCCCTAGCATTAATCGAAGGTGGAATGAAATATGAAGATGCAGTACAGTTCATAAGACAGTAAGTAGTTAATTTTTTTCATTATTTGTGTTTTTATTACTACAAGAGCAAATTTTTTTTCGAACTGCCAGTCTGACCATTTTTAAGATTGTGTTAAAACCAGGAAATAAAGACCTTTCCTCTTTTTTGCATTCCACCTACACATGTAGGGCTGTCCATATTCTACATTAAGTCACAGTGTAATCAAAAGATAAAGTGCCACAAGAGCAGTCATAATTGCCTGTAGCACAGTGAATGTTGTCACGGAGGACTTTTGCTTTAATAACGTCCATCTTTTGTTTTTTCCTTGAAGAAAGCGGCGTGGAGCTTTTAACAGCAAGCAACTTCTGTATTTGGAGAAGTATCGTCCTAAAATGCGGCTGCGCTTCAAAGACTCCAATGGTCATAGAAACAACTGTTGTATTCAATAAAACGGGTGCCTGATGCCATTGCCTTGGAAGTGGAACTTTGAGATAGGACCTAATTTGTCATACATTAGCCAGCATGTTGGCTTGGTGAATAAGTCTAATGAAGTTTCCATAGGAGTATTGAAAAGCTTTACCAGGCCACAAGCTTGACAGAATTGCAGCCTCTATGTTTCGGTTATGATCAACCTATTTTGACACTTAGCAAAAGATTCTTACTGTTCAGCATTTAAAATGTGCTTATCATTTGTACCAATTGACTTTTCCTGAAATCATGCAGTATTGAGTTATGTCTTTAAATCTATTCCCATGCCAGAATCTTATCAATACATAAAAGATTTAGAAATATTAGGTGCCAAAATACCCAGCACAATACTTGTATACTTTTAGTACCATACAGAACTAAAATCCCAGGAACTATGAACACTCTGAACCTTATGTGGTTTATCCCCTCAGTCATTTCAAACATAGAAAGTAGGACCTATATGGTTATTTGCCTGCTCACTTTATGTTTACATCTCTCACATTCATTAAGTATACATCAGGTTCACTCAACTTTTTGATTTTTATACCAAGTCTTAGTTATTATTTAATGTCTTTCTATAAATCTCATTTTGTGCTGTTATGGAAAGCCTCCATTTTGAAAATCTACATTGTACAGAAGCACATGTCTTTAATGTCTCCAGACAAAAAGCCTTATAGTTAATTTTAATGTTTGCACTTGGGGTGCAACTTATACGGAGGGCCTGAGAAAAGAATGGGAGGGGGCTATTAAGTATTTTTAGTAAAATGTTGCCTTTGTCTTGTGTGGAACATGTAGAAATATGCTCTTTAGTAATTATTTTTTTAAAGGTAGACATGCTTTGTTGTAGCTGAAACAATTCTTAATCATAAAAACTCTGAAATTCTTGTATTTTTTTCATACATTCTGAGGTTGTTTACCAACTCATTTTTGTTTGAAGTGTGATTTTTTTTTTCTTTTCCACCCTCTCTTGCAAGAAAAGAAGTGGGTTTCTGCTAATGAATTGAGCAGACATCTAATATTTTATATGCCTTTTGAGCTGCGTAACTTAATATTTGGATACTTGATAATTTGTTTTATTATGTAATTGATAAAATGGTGATGTGTATTGATGTTAGTTCAACCATATATTTATACTGTCTGGGAATGTGTGGTTATAGTTCTGTGGGAGAAATAATTTGTCAGTGTTCACCAGCTTGTAAAAATCTAGTGCGAGAGCTTAAACATCTAAATAAATGAGATGCATTTATCATCACTGACATTGTTGTGCTTAAAGTTAACTTTAGAAAATGTTAAGACTGAATTGCGTTTCACTTAGTACCATTTGAAGTAAATGATTAAATGATGTTGGCATTTTAGTAAGCTCCTTATAGACACACAATTTGTTAGGATCATGAAAACTTTATTATTAAAAGTGCTTTCCATTATAAACTTTGCTTTTTAAAGATTCAGATAATTTTGAGCCACTGTGTACTATTCTGTACTGAGGAGAAACATAAATAGTAGGGGAAGTCCTTGATTTGGAGCTCAATTACCAAATAGTAACTGGTTTGGGTCAACTTCCAAGCCTCAGTTTTCTCATTTACAAATTAATAATCACATAACTTTACAGATTTTTAAATTTGGACATAAGTATTTTGGCACAGGAGGGTTTAATAAATGTTGTTTCTTTCAGTAATCTGAAATATGTCCTTTGCATACATAGCTCATGTTAATTTATAATGGACTTAAATCAGATGTCCTTGTCTGATTCTTTTTTTAAATAGCAATTACAACCAAATAAAAGACTCAAAATTTGAATGAAAAACAATATTCAACCTTGTGTTTTAAAGAATTTGCTTCCATTTGTTCATGGTAGTTTAGCACTTAGTATACTCCATTCTTGAAACTTAGACTGGGACCAATAGGATAAGGGGCTTCCGGGGATCCTTGGTTCTTTAAATCTTAGATAATTTTGTGGCTGGGGCTGTTATTTAACCTGGCTGCTTTTTTTTTTTTTTAAATACATTGTACTCTTAGGATAATTTTATGTAGATTATTAAATGATAATTACTATGTCACATAGCCTATAAAACAGCATTTGTGTTTATTGAGCGGAGATGCCATCATGGCTAATGAAACATACTGAGTTTGAAACAGTTTGTAGTGTTGGATTGTGTGTATGGTGCTAAAAATCAATTTATAAACCTCATCTGTACAGTATACAATATGAGATTTGCTTCCTATCCAAACATTTTCTATCTTGTGAATATGACTAATTATAGGAATACTCATATCCTGGGAGATTCCTTATATCTAATCAGAATTAAAATAGAAACATGAGTTGAGACTTTATATAGGAAGTTATCAGATTGTGTTCTAGAATTTGGTTACTTGGTTTTACACAACAATTTTCCTCAATAGGATGATATAAACTGAGTACCTGACAAGGCTTTATGGAACCATAATGTTGCTGACATGTAAGTAATGTGCTTACAACATTTTAGTTGAAAGAAAAACTTACAAGTGCAGTTGGCCATTTTGCAGCATACCACACCTTCATTTATTCCCCCGATGGCCCCCTTTCCTAGCACGGTGCTTTTTCTATTCCCATACCTTCACACTGCTCCATGTCTAGAAGCAGCCCAGCCCAGGCATGCAACCACATCTGGTGACATCCCCTTCCAGCCAGAGCACTTCAAAAGGATATTGTGGTCCCCCAACTTGGCTACAGAATCTCAATTTCTGGGGTCTGTTTTAAAATGTAGTTCTATGGCAGAGAATATAAAAGATTGTGTCTCCAGATTTTGGTTGCCAATAAGTAGTACCCTCCCCGCCCCCAGTCCTTTTCATAATTGAATCTTTTCTGTTAAAGTTTCAGGCCAGTGTAGTTCCAAAATGAAGTGGAAGCATAAGTAGCAAAATTTCTACATGTAGACAATGAAGTTCCTTTTAGTTGTGAGAAAAAAACATGAAATCATGTTTGCTGTACATGTTTATACTGTACATTCCCTGACTCCTTGAATAAATTATATATGTGTGTGTATATACACATATATGTCTCCTTAAACCTGAATGAAAATTAAAGACATTTTAAAGTATCTGACACAATGTTTCTGCATTATATTTGGGGTAACTAGCCTAAGCAGAGTCTTGGAAGGACACGGAAAGTATATATTTGACTTCAATGAATTAAGCCAGTTGTATGCATTATGTTTAGAATGGAAGAATTAACAGTAATTCTGTATTTGATATATATTGTCAGACTAACCAGTCAATCTAGTACTACCTTTTTCTTTTTTAATCCTCTGTTTTTTTCATTGCTTTCCAAAGAGAGTGGGGGAGAAACCAATTGGTTGCCTCTACGGCACAGGCACCAGGGTCAAGCCTGCAACCTACATATGTGCCCTTGGCCAAAATAGAACCCAGGACCCTTTGGTCCATGGGCCGACGCTCTAACCACTGAGCCAAACTGGCTAGGGCTGTACTACCATTTATTAAGGGTAGAATTGTCAGGTGATTTTTATAATTTGATTACCTAGTCCTATATTACCCCAATTTTATAAAGGATTTGAGCCTCCAGATAGATAACTAGCTGATCAATGGTAGAACTCAGGGATTAAAACCTGTGTGACTATCCACTACACCACACAGCTATGACTATGTGGCTGACCTTTTTTTTTTTTTAAATATGTTTTTATTTCAGAGAGAGAGAGAGAAACATAAATGATGGGAGAGAGTCATTGATCAGCTGCCTCCTGCTCCTCCCCTGCTGGGGATCGAGCCCCCAACCTGGGCATCGAGCCCCCAACCTGGGCATGTTCCCTTACCAGGACTGTGACCTCCTGGTTCATAGGTCAATGCTTGACCACTGAGCCATGCCGGCCGGGCTGCCTGACCATTTTTTATGAAACCAATTAAAGCTTTTGTATGAGTCAACTGCTTCTGTAACTCATTTTTCTAAACTTCATAAAAATGAAGTATCAATTTCATTTAGATTAAACCCTTTTCTATTTTTGCAGAAAAACCTTTTTGAAGTAAATCAGGATAGGCTAAGATGCTACAGAAACACCCAACCTGAAAGTAACTTAGATTTATTTCTCACTTAAGCTTCACGTACGTTACAGGGACCTGTGCTGGTAGAACATCTACTCTCCAAAACAGTGCTAGTGGTTATGACAAAAAAGGGCTTTGGAGTTTCTCACAATTAAGTCCTTGACTTCAACTAATTGGACAGAACTGGTCACATAACCACCCAGCACAGGAAATGCAATCCTATCATGTGCTGATAAACCAGAAATAGCATTAATAGCTACCACGTCAGAGTTTTAAAAGATTTATTTTTAGAGTATATTCAGAGCGAAACCACATGTAACTGAAATATCAAGCAGAAGGGGTCGAAGTTTCCAAGCAACCACAACAGATAATGAAGTTTAGGCACTAACGTGTGCCTCTTAGGGAATCGTAGGTGCTTATTTAAGCATATCTAATCGCGATATAACTTTAGCTAGCTTTGGTAATTCGATTTCCTGCCAGACCAGCGGTAAATAAGGTGCAGAGCACAGGGGAGAGAAGCACAGTAAGATATACTTGTCAACCTGATACTGAGAAACTGGATTATAAAACTAAATTGAATTCAAAAGGCACAGCCACTTGGGACATGTCACTGCTATGACTTAGAGCCTTAGGCTTAGATACCTCAGTAGACCTTCTGGCCACCCATGTTGCACACAGCACAGAACAATTACAGATATTGCTAATGATTACCCTTAGTCATCGAGACTAGAAACCACTATATTTGGCTTTGTTTATTTTAAGACAAGGAATATTATAATCAAATGTGTTCAAGGGATGTTTTTAGATATATTGTTAGAAAAATGGTTCCATGAATAATTAAGTTTGGAAAACACTAGGCTAAACTTAGACATTATTTACTGTGATAATATTTAGAACCTTTAATATGCTAATGTGAATTTTTAATCTTTCCAAGAAGGTAATATATTTAACCATTGCATAAATCAGCACCCCAGAAGGAAACAGATGGTACACTCAAAGTGGGTAATTGAGAAACATTTCATGGAAACCAACGAGAGAGAATGCAGTAGTTACAATCTCTAGACCTAAAGATGCAAGGGAGGGGGAGCAGTAACAGAACTGGAGAGAACAGCTAAATGGAGGGGACAGTTTCACCAAAGCTGTGACCTTAGCCAATAAACTGGTGGCAATCCAGCAGGAGGGAGACAAGAAGCCAAGAAATACCTAGCCACATTTCCCATCCCCTTTAATGTCCTGCTGGTCTCCCCTCCCCCTCAGCCCTCCTCCCCTTTAGCCAAACCCAAGAGGAAGGTACAGGGCAAAGGAGCCTGTAGTATGTACACAGATTAGCCCCTTGGGCACAGAGCAGAAAGGAGAGGAGAGAGAGAGAAACAAATATCCTGTACAACTGTGAATCCTCTTTTTTCACAGGTGTCCAGGACTATAGTGTTCTGCAGAACTCACTTTGGGAAAATTTGACATACATTTATAAAGATAGCCAAACGGATAACACAAACATTTTTCTAAAAAGTGACAGTGGAAGAATCTACACTAATATGAAACTGTTCATTCCATTCCAATTTAATGAATTAAGTATTGATTTGGGGGGTAGTGGAATATAGTTTTACCAAAAAATGGTAAGAACAATGTCCATTTCACTTTTGACTTACGCACTCTGATCACAGTGTTAGTCATTTTTGCATAAATATTCGAGACATTTATTAACCAGTTATTCAGATAATTTTGTCTTGAAGTTTATACTATGGCATCTATATAGGGTTTCCTTTTTTCTATTTTTTGATTTAACTCTATCAGGTACTTATAATACTTTTGTTTTGGTTTAACAAAATCAGCAGCTCTGCAACATCACTTTCACTGACTTCATACAACCCTGAAACTTAAATTTCAATTGCACATGTTTGCATTGTTATTGTTTTTTAATTGATTCTAGAGAGAAGAAAGCAGAGAGAAAGAGAGAGAGACATCAACTGGGCCTCAAACCTGCAACCTGGGTATGTGCCCTGACTGGGAATGGAGCCCACCACCTTTTGGTCTACCAGGCAGCTCTCCAAACAACTGAACCACACCAACCAGGGCTGTTTGTATTGTTTTATTGGCTACATTGATTGGCAAGAAAATTACTCACAAATGGGTTTGGGTGTAATGCACACTACTAGTGTTAATTGAGGACAAATACTTATACTCTAATTTCATAAGTGGGTGTTCACTAATGAAAATACTATACTTTTGTTTCCCAAGAATTTAATTTACATAGGGACTCAAAAGAGTCCCTTGCCTGAAGAAATAAACAACAGAATTCATCTCCCATTTGATCTAATGGGACCTGGATAGGTATGACTCACGAATTATTCTATTCAGTTGTCTGTGTTCATTACAAACCTGCTCATGCTGTAAGCCCACCAATACTATTAATAAGATGGTCCCACAGAACTTCACCAAGAACTTCCATTTCTTGTTAACCAAGAATTCAGCCTGAGGGAAACAACACATCATTATGCAAACTCTGTAACATGATAGTACCTGTAACTAGGCTTACTTCCAGTTTAAACACACAGAAATACCTGTTTCCTTTACAAGGAACAGTGTTCTAGGGAAATCTCTGCTGGGGTATTTCCCTAATTTGAATTCAGTCAGAAGGAAATCAGACAGCATACTAACAAAATAGACCTGTAAGACAGTCTGTTTTAACTTTACTAGCTGGCATTTTATATATGTGACTTAATTGCTGTCGTGTCTACTAGGATTTATTCAAGTATTAAATGCCAAATTTGATTATTAGATGCTTTTTTGTCAATTTATCACATATTCTAGGAAAGGACTTTTTCTTTGGAGAAAGTAGTAGAGAGTCTCTGGTTTGCTGGTGGGGTTAGGAGCAAGAAGAGAGGCAAAGTTGTAGCCCTGAGTGAGCTATTGCATGTTGCCATTGACTAGAATCAGGAAATGTACGTTAATTCCATAGGTGCTCATGGAGTGGACAGTTTGTACCTTGTATTTGGCACTGAAGACAAAGTGATGAGGAACACAC